CCATGCCGCACGTTCCCCACACCGCCCCTGCACCCCAGATCCCCTGCTCTCCCTCTTCCCTGTGACTCTCTGGCTCTGTGCCGCCCTTGCCCCCCGCCCCGTGCCCCACCCCACCTCTGTGCTGCCCATTCCTTGCACTGCCCCTACACCCCGATCCCTCTGCCCCTCCCGTTCCCCGCATCCCATTCCCCATGCCTCCACTGCACCCCGCACCCTGCTCCCCCGATCTCTGCCCCCCCCAGCTCTGTGCTGTCCGTTCCCTGCCCTGCTCCTAGACCCCGATCCTTCTGCCCCTCCCGTTCCTTGTGTCCCATTCCCCGTGCCTCCACCGCACCCTGCTCCCCCCGACTCCTGCGTCCCTCTGGCTCTGTGCCTCCCGTTCCCCGCGCCATCCCTGTACTTTCGCACTGTTCCCTCCACACCTCTGACTCTGTGCTCCCCCTGCATCCTGCTCCCCCTGTGGGTCGGGAGTGAGGGGTGCTTGTCCATAGGCTGGACAGGGCAGGGAAAAGGCTGCTGTGACCTAGCTGCGAGTGAAAGGGGGAGTTCATTTGAAGCGCCTTTGCCTTTATGGAAAAAAAAAGAATGAAAATGCTATTCCCTATTTATAGGGCTAAAATGCCAGGACAAAAATGAAAACAAACAAAAAAAACCCATTGCAACATGTAAATGTGTAAAAGACAACAACAAAGTGAGGGGTGGGGTGGGCAAAAAATGTTTTGCTAGGGGCAGCAAAAAACCTAGAGCTGTCCCTGGGGGAAGGGAAGGAGCTGGGGGGAGGGGAGGGGAAAATATGGGGAAGGGGCTTGTGCTGAGGGGAGGAGGTCAAGAGAAGGACAAGAAGAAGAAGAAAGGGGGAGGCACCAAGGGACAGGGGTGCAGGGGAGACAAATCCCAGGGGGCCAAGTGCAGACAATGAGGAAAAGGGCAGGAGGGGAGGTGTCAGTTGGAGGGGGGAATAGGGTGATGCTGGGAGAAGAGAGGGTAAGGGCACTGCGGCTGAAGGGGGAAGGGGGAAGTGCTGGGAGAAGGCTTGAAAGGAGTGGGCATGAGGAAGGCGGGGATGGAGCAAGGCATGTGTAGAGGATGGCGAAGGGGTGGGCATCAGGGAAAAAGAGAAAAAAGGGGGCAGTGAGGGAAGGGGGAGGGTCCATGCTACATGAAGCTGATAGAGAAGGTACTAATTGTTCTTAAGTACCCACTGTTTGGTTTTTTATGTCATTAGGATGTGGAATGTAAGCAGGCGATTCAGCCAATGTCTTCGTTCATACCTCTGTTACAGGAATCAAACTTGTAAATGAAGTTAAGTTCTAAGGCTTCCTTGTGGAGTTGGTTTGTGAAATTGGCCTGAAATAATATGGTGTCTTTGAGATCCATTATTGAGTGCCCAAGCAAATTAAAATGTTCTCCAACAGGTTTCTGTGTGTTGCTTTTTCGGATATCTGATTTGTGTCCATTCATTCTTTCTCTATGGGTATGTCTAGACTACACCCCTCTGCCGGCAGAAGGATGCAGATTAGGCAGGTCGAAATGGCTAATGAAGCGGGGGATTTAAATATCCCGTGCTTCATTAGCATAAAAATGTCCACCACTTTTTTTGGCACGGAGCTTTGTCGGAGAAAAGCGGCAGTCTAGAGGCTGATCTTTCACTAAAGAAAGCCTTTTCCGATAGATCCTCTGCCGTAAGAAAACACTTTTTGGGGGGGGAGGGTGGTGAGTCCCTTTTTTGTCTGGCGAGTAGAGTTTTCCATAATTTGTCGAGCCGTGTGTGTGTGGGTGTGTTGTGTGTGTGAAATATTAATTAGTATAAGTGGCTTTCTTCCTTTTTTCTCCCAGCTAATCCCTCCTTGCAGTCTCTGACTGCTTACGGGGACATGCCTGGATCACCTGACTTTAAACACTGTACTTCATGTAAAAACCATATTCCGCTCTTGGACGGTCACTCACAATACATCCGTTGTCTTGGAGAGCAGCATATTTCTCAGAAGTGCCCTCACTGCGCAAAGCTAAAACCTGGGCATGAAAAGACAGAGACCTACGACTCAGATTGTTTTTATTAGAAAACTCGCTTCAACCAGCTTCCAATCCGGGTCACCAGCCCCAGGAACCTGAACAGCAGGGATCCAAAAAGCCCACCAAAAAGAGAGCCTCCTCAGTGCCTCAAGGGGCTATGGCACCAAAATGGCTATCCCCCTCACGGCTGGTGCCGAGAGCCGTGGTGGCACTGTGCCTCAGTACTTATGACTCTGATGGTGTCTCTGGAGCCCCCAGCAGAGGCAAACAGCATGCATGCACTAAACTGCATTCTGAGGTGACAGGCTTCAAGTTGCCTGCCTCACTGGCTGCAGCACCATCTGGCAATGATACACTCTTGCCCACGCAGCATGAGAATGTGGCACCGACTATGTTAACAGGTGCCTCAGCTTCCACCACAGAAGTGTCTAATGCACCACAACTGCCCTCGGCACCGAGGCATGATTCCATGCTGCGGATAGCTTCCGTGCCTCCCAACTACAGCACTGGCTACACCTGTTGGGCACAACACTCAACACAGAAACTTTCTAGTCTCATCCACGTTTAAATCACCATTTTTACAGCCAGAGGCTACATCTAGACTACAGGCTTCTTTCAGAAGAAGCTTTTTCGGAAGAGAGCGTCCATACTGCAAAAGTTCATCAAAAAAGTGATCTGCTTTTTTGAAAGAGAGCATCCAGACTGAATGGACACGCTCTCACATGTAAGCTGAATGGATGCTCCCTCTTCCCTGTCCACCCACGCCTTATTGTGAAAGAGCTCTTTCGCAAAAAGGCTTCATTCCTCAAATGAGGATTACCAATGCCAGAAAAAACCCTCTGTTCTTTCGATTTTCTTGCAGACGAATGCAATTGCAGTGTGGATGTTCCTCAAGTTTTGTTGGAAAAATGACAATTTTTCCGACAAAACTCTGTAATGTAGACATACCCAGAGAGCTCTCCTCCTATGTTAACATCACAGGGATCACTCTCTCGGGAAAAACTTTCATCTGTCTCTTACGACGACTTCTCCAGGGGGTTTTTCAGCAGAGAACTCCCTTTACACAGCTCAGAGTATCTACTCTCCCAGATTCGAGAATATGCCTCCATATTATGGCAATCCCTGAGCACCTCCACCTCAGCCTTACTCATATTGGCAATAGTGAGACAAATGGCAATTTTACCAGAAACACCAGTGGAGCTGGAAGAGAGACAGAGTGCAATACTCCCCCTCCAAACAAATACAGGGAGAACCACTCTCACAGGAGGTTGTGACTCCTCCTGATCCAAAGGACACACCTCCCCCCTCCAGCTGGGGTCATTGATGGCCCCAGCTTCAACAACTTCAGACGACACTGCACATTTCCAAGACTTTTTTAAACGTGTAGCTGTGGAATTGAACATTCTTCTCCAGGGGGTGGTGGAAAATCAACATGACTTAATAGACATACTTCACTCAGTAACACCATCCAAGATAGTATTGCTAATCAATCCAGCAATAATGGAACCGGCAAAGGCGCTGTGGCAAACTCTGGCATCAATCTCTTTTCTTGCTAAGAGAACTGATAAGAAATATTATGTCCCACCCAGTGGTTCAGAATTCCTTTTTTCCCACCCAGCACCTAATTCTCTCATGGTGGAGGCTACACAACAAAAATCCAAGCAACAATACCAGTCTACTGCATCAGACCGTGATAGCAAAAGACTTGATACACTTGGGTGCAAAATATGTCTTCTACTTTACAATTTTGCATTTCGAATTATGCAGCTTTAATGAGCAAATACGATTATAGAAATTACACCAAACTGAGTGACTTTGTTGCAGACATTCCTGAGGCTAAGCGGCAACAATACATAGCACTGATATCCAAAGGTCACACAATTTCAAGAACAGTATTACAGACTGCCTTAGATGCCGCTGACAGCTGCATGTTCAACATTGGTAGTAATGAGAAGGGCATAATGGTTTAGCTCCACTCCATTCCCCAGGGAGATTCAAGCTACAGTAGATGATCTGCCCTTTGACGGCCAGAAGTTGTTTGCAGCTAACACCAACAAAACTCTCCACTCCAGAGTAATGCTGCGCTCTCTCGGGATCCACAACAAGAACCTAGAAGAAGGCAATATAGGTATTAGCCTTATCCGAGACCTGGATACCCCCCCTATACACAACACTACAATAGACAAGATCACCAGCAGCAGAACATAGGCAGAAACCAACACCACCACCCTTCCTCTACTACTTCTCCTCCGTCACAGCAGCCCAACAAGCAAATTTGATCATCAGTCGAGAGTCTGGAGAGCCTCTCACCTATTCCATCACTGTCAACGCAAGCAAATCTCTTCCATCATCGATTCTTGCCTTTCCTCAACAACTGGCAACATATAACCTCTGATGGATGGGTCCTGCAGAGAACTGAAAAAAGCTACCTTATCCCTTTTTGTGTCCAATACCCCTTTCTCCACCCCCCTTTCCCGTCCCTCTTCAGGGACCACTCACAAGACCCTCCTTCAACAAGAAATAGAGCACCTGTTACACATTGGGATGATTAAACCAGTCCTCACACAATTTAGAAACAAGGGATTCTACTCACTACTTTTTGACAGAGAAAAGATCGGGGGGTTGGAGGCCCATACTGGAGCTTTGAAGGCTCAATAAATTCATACAGAAACAAAAATTCAAAATGGCAACACTTATTACCATATTACCAGCATTGGAAAAGGATGACTGGTTCTCATCCCTTGACTTGCAAGAGGCATACTTTCACATTGCCATCCACCCTGCTCACAGGCGTTTTCTTTGTTTTGTTGTAGATTCTCATCACTACTAATACAAAGAGCTTTGTTTCAGACTCTCTACAGTCCCGAGGGTCTTCTCAAAAGTGCTGGCGGTCATCACAGCGTACTTGAGGAAACAAAGTGTTATCATATTTCCTTACCTAGATGTCTGCCTCCTCAAGTCATGCTCACATGATTCCTGCCACACTCTTACAGTCACCCTGGGCCTTCAGGTGAATGAAGCCAAATAGATACTCTATCCTACACAAAAGATACAGTTCATAGGAGCATGCCTCGATTTGACAACAGCCACTGCACCCCTACCTACAGACCATTTTCAAAAAATCGTGGCCTCGATAAATACCTTACGATCCAGCCCCTGCACAACAGCACTCAAATGCCTTCGACTGTTGGAGCATGTGGAAGAGTACAACTTTGTAATTGGCAATGCCCATCTGCACATGAGATGCTTACAGAGCTGGCTGGGACAGGTGTACAAACCCAATGTCCATCTGTTATCCAAATCCCTTGCTCTTCCAGGAGTAGTAAAGGAATCCTTAGCTAGTGGCTGAGTCCAAGGAACCTATATTCTGGAGTCTCCTTCCGCCCACCAGAACCATCCATCTCCAAGACGACAATTTCATCTTTTAAAGGATGGGGCACCCACCTGCACCATCATACCTGCCAGGGCCTGTGGTCCAGCACCAACAAGAATCTGCACATAAACGTCCTAGAACTTCAGTCAAGAATGCATGCCCCAAATTCCTCCCATTCATCACCAACAGACATGTCAGACTGTACATACACAACGGTGCAGCAATGTTTTACATAAATCGTCAAGGTGGCCTGAGCTCGAGTTCTGTGCACAGAGGCCATAGCACTTTGGAACTAGTGTTTGAAATTGTCAGACTGTACATACACAACGGTGCAGCAATGTTTTACATAAATCGTCAAGGTGGCCTGAGCTCGAGTTCTGTGCACAGAGGCCATAGCACTTTGGAACTAGTGTTTGAAATACAACACAATTATCACCGCAATGGATCTTCCAGGCATCCTGAATACAATAGCAGATGCATTCAGCAGAGCCCTTCTGGTCGAGCATGAGTGGCAAATGAATCCGTACATATTGGCAGACATCTTCTGCCGATGGGGTCACCCTACCATAGATCTGTTTGCCACGTACTCCAACAGTCAATGCCCCCTATTCTGTTCCAGGGCAGGAATAGACAAGAGGTCAATGGGGGATGCCTTTTTCATCACATGGATGTCCTACCTATTCTACACATTTCCTCTGATTCCCCTATTGAACAGGGTAGTTCACAAAATAAGGAGGGACAGGGCCCATTTCATACTTATAGCACCAGCATGGCCACACCAGCCATGGTTTCCCTTCCTAGCGGTGATGTCCCGCACCTCACCGATCCACTTACCTTGCATCAGGGATCTCCTTTTTCACTTGGGCTCCCAAGATGCCCATCCGAACCTCTACTTACTACACCTGAAGGCATGACTCCTGGATGGTTCTCCGACTTAGAGTTGATCTGCTCACAGCAAGTGCAAATGGTCCTTCTACACAGTAGGGCACAGAGCACCCACAAGACTTGCCTTCAGAAATGGAAAAGATTCTCGAAGTGGTGTGTTTGTCACCAGTTGGTTCCTTCAACAGCCCCTTTACCTACCATCCTCGACTATCTTCTGCACCTTAAACAAATGGGTCTCGCAATGAGCTCCATTAAAGTTCACCTTTGTGGCCATCACTACGTTTCACTCCATGATAGACAACTCATCCATATTTGCTCATCTACTCAGCAGGAGGTTCTTAAAGGGCCTGTAGGCACTTTATCCAGATATCAATCCACCAATGCAACCGTGAGACCTGCATTTAGTATTGAATGCTCTAAGTAGGCTTTCCCTTCGAACCAATGGCGATGGCCTCATTATTGCACTTGGCCATGAAAACGGTTTTCCTGGTAGCCATTGCCTTGGCCAGACAGGTAGGAAAGATCACAGCCCTAATGGCAGACCCCCCATATACTATCTTTATTAAATACAAGGTCACTTTACGTATCCATCCCAAATTCCTCCCCAAAGTACACCACTCATTCTTCCATGTCAACCAGACAATACATCTTCCCACTTTCTTCCCTAAACCACATGCCAACTCTTTAGAGATGAAAAGTACACTCTTGACCTGCGTAGAGCGCTCTCCTTTTATCTGCAGAGTTTAAAGAGAAGCTGGATAAATTCATGGAGGTTAGGTCCATAAAAGGCTATTAGCCAGGGGATAAAATGGTGTCCTTGGCCTCTGTTTGTCAGAGGCTGGAGAGGGATGGCAGGAGACAAATCGCTTGATCATTGTCTTCGGTCAACCCTCTGTGGGGTACCTGGTGCTGGCCACTGTCGGTAGACAGGATACTGGGCTAGATGGACCTTTGGTCTGACCCAGTACGGCCGTTCTTATGTTATGTTCTTAATGAAACCATTCAGGGCATGTACCATTTGTTTCAATAGCAAACCACGATAGGGGCCAGGCCATCTCATCACAGAGACTCTCCCACTGGATCTTGGATTGCATCAAGCTCTGCTACGCACAGTCAGATGTGCTCTCTCCAGAGTACATACGAGCACACTCAACCGGGGCCATGGCTACCTCGATAGCTTTCCTTCATAAAGTATCCATAAAAGACATCTGTGCAGCTGCCACATGGTCCTCCGACCACACATTTTCAAAGCACTATGCACTTACGCAGGAACCTCTTTCCAACTTGAAACTAGCTAAGGCAGTTCTTTCTACCACTTTTCTGCCAGATCTGAAGTTCCTACCTCCCTAAAGGGGAAATGCTTTGTAGACACATAATATGGAGCATCCACGGGGACATCTCTTTCTCAAAGAGGAGGTTACTCACCTTGATAGTAACTGACGTTCTTCGAGATGAGTATCCCCATGGGTGCTCCACAACCCTCCCTTCATCCCCTCTACTTCAGGATCCTGGCCTTCCTAAGCCATGGTTTCAGGGTAGAAAAGGAACTGAGGAGTGGGAGGGGAGGGGCTTGTGCAGGCGCAATGCTACAGCCTAACAGCATGCAACTGCTGGTGCACGCCTGCACGGCCCCAGGGAAATCTGCTATGAAATCTCCGAACTGAGGCTTGGTTGCGGTGCACCGATCTAATGTGGAGCACCCACTGGAACACTCATCTCAAAGAACATCAGTTACTATTGAGGTGAGTAACCTTCTCTTTTGAATATTTGCTCTTAAGAAGAAAACCAATACAACTGAGTTTTAATTCAGATGTAAAGTTAGCAGCAAGTTTAAACCCTAGAAAAAATGCACTGAAAGACTCCTTACCTTGTGATTAAGAAAGCATTTATGTTTACAGAACGAATATTAATGTTTAATTTATAAAAGGGTAAAAATCGAATGACATTGTTAGCACTATGCTGAAACACCTAGTGAAAATATAAATTAATATAAACTTTTCCATTTTGCTCTAACATTTGAAAATATCATATAAAAAGAGATCATATTTCAATCAATAACAGCCCCTTTCTTAGTATTTCCACAAATATTCTATTATCCATCAGAAACACATGCAAAATAATTACCTCTCCCAGAGATGTTGTGAAGATTAATTACTGTGTGTAAAGCACTTTGAGAGCTTGGGTTGGAAGGAAGCCAAGTGCACAACCACAGGACTAAAACTTTGTTAGCAACAACTTAATTTTAGCAAGCTTTCAAACAACATACAGGAAATACTTAAATCTAACCCATTATTATTTTGATAGGGTCAGTGGTAGATTTAAAACAATTTTTTCAACAATTATGTCAAAACAGTACCTCTAATTATTAAAACTTAAATAATTAATTTTTCCCACTATTCACGTATTGTACATCAAAAGAAGCAGCATATCTATCACGTCATTCCAAGAAAATAATCAGGTCAGTTTTGTCTTCTGGCTCTCTAGCAATAGCACAGTGCCATGATACTTACCTTTAAAACAGAGGCCTGTTTAAATTCAAATAAAACATTAACTGGAATATTAAAATATGTTAATGATTTGATTATTATAAACGCACAAAACTTAGACCTTGATCCTGTTCTGAGAAATGAATTCTCAGTGGGATTCTGCATAGGTGAAGGAATCCAGCTATAGAGTTCTTGGAATAGAGCTTTAAATTTGGCCCAAAAGGGTATCTTTACCTGGATAAATTGATGTTGTGGAGTTCTTAAAATATACAGTAGTTGCATCTTGAATTCTAGTTAATGAAGGGTAGGGGAAAATCGACATTCCAGGGGCTGCCATGTTATAATATAATAATATAGATATGCTTAAACCAAATTAATAAACTCCAAATACAGAAGAGACCATTGTGATCACATAATATACCATAGAAGTTTCACAATATAATTTCTAGACTGTAAAATTAGCAGTGATAGAAAATCCACCATGACCCTTGGTAAGTTGTTCCAGTGACTAATTACTGTCTCGGTTAAAATGTTTACATTTCCATTCTGAATTTGTCTAGCCCAGGCCTGGGTACTATACAGCCTGTGGCCACATCTGGCCCACCAAACCACCAGATCTGGCCTGTGGACATTGTGAAGAGCCCCAGGCAGGCTCCCTGCTTGCCTAGCCCTGCCCACATGCCTCTCAGAAATGTGGCTGCGGAGCGTTTTCACTTAAACTGAGCCCAGAAGAAAGTGGGGGAAGCTTTAGGAGTTGCTCCCGCCCCCAGCATAATCCCATTCGCTGGCTTCTGTCCAGAAACTGGCCAATGGGAGCTGCCTGTTTCAATAATAGGCAGCCACAAAGCACAAGGGGCTTGTAATTATTCACAGAGCACATGGCTGCAGCCTGTGTGGGCAGGGCAGGCAGAGAGAGGCTGATTTAGGAACAGGCTGCTAGCTGGTAAGTCTCCTGGCCAGAGCCTGCCTCTGGCACCTCAGCCCCTCCGTTCCCCAACCCTTTGCCCCTCATTTCTGCCCCCCTCCTGCACCCATATCCCCTCCCAGATCCAGCACCCCAGTCCCTTGCCCCAGATCACAGTCCCCTCCTGCCTTAGCTCACAACCCAAACCCCTCCACCCCTTTCTGTTCCCCAATTCCCTGCCCTAAGTCACAGTCCAACCTCCTGCACCCCAGGTCACAACTGCCTCCTTCACCCAAACTCCCTCACCCCAACCTCCCTTCTGCCCCTAACCTCCATCCCAGACCCCGTACCACCTTCATTAATATCATGGAAGAGTGAAGGCCTTGACCACTTTCGAAATTCTTGGAGTGCCCCTCCCTCCATCAAAAATTATTGCCCACCCCGGAGTAGCTTCAACTTTCAGTCATTGGATTATGTTATACTAGTTGTTCTCAAGCTTTTTGTATTAGTGAGCCCTTCAAACCGCAAGCCTCTGAGTGCATCTTCCTTATACATTTAAAATGTTTTATATTTAATGCTATTTTAAATACTAAATGTATATCTCTATTTAAAATTAACTTACATTTTCTCACTCTTAAGACAAATACAATTTATTGAATTATTGCTATAAGCATAGAAATTATTTTTAAAAATATTTACTGTTTAATACTGTGGAGGGCACATAAATTTTGTCAATATCACTTTTCACAGCTGACTTAATGCATCACTGCCACCCTTCCTTCTTCGCTGCTCTGAAAGCACTGCTGTCAGTAGCAGCACATAGGAGTGGCAACTGGGTACTGAATCTGCTGTGAAACGTGGTATTTGTATGTTTGTTAATCACTTTTCACAGTCAGTCAATTCTGAAGGCAGCACTACGTCCAGCAGTAAGTAGCGTACTACCTTCAGAGCTAGGTGGCTTGATAGCAGCAACAGCTGCTGGCTGGGTGCCCAGCTCTGTAGCACTGCCACCAGCTGCAGTGCAGAACTCCAGAAGATGACAATGCCATATCATGCAACTCTTACTTCTGCATTATGTTTGACCTTTTTGTTGGGAGGGATGACTTTTGGGAGGAGGGGCAAAAGCAAATTTTGGGGTGATTATAGTCCTCACAAGCACTCCATCTTTCCACCTCTGCCTGTGTCTGACTGGCCAAATATATATCCCCAAGCTGTGTCTAGACTACACCTCTCTGTCGACAGAAAGATGTAGATTAGGCACGTTGAAATTGCTAATGAAGCAAGGATTTAAATAGCCCACGCTTCATTAGCATAAACATGGCCACCACTTCTTTTTCAAAACGGAGCTTTTTCGGGGAAAAAAAGACAGTCTAGATGCAGATCTGTTGAAAATAAACACTTTTTCGGCAGTTCCTGTAAACCTCATTTTTTGAGGAATACTGGATCTGTCGAAAAAGGGTTTATTTTTGACAGATCCGTGTCTAGACTGCAGTTTTTTTCAAAAAATCTCAGTTTCGAAAAAAGTGGTGGCCATGTTGATGTTAATGAAGCGCGGGATATTTAAATCCCTGCTTCATTAACAATTTCAACATGCGTAATCTACATCTCTGTCGACAGAGGTGTAGTCTACACGTAGCCCAAGTTTTTTAGTCCCTATTTGAGAACGCTTTCATTTCTAGATTGAAGTGTTGATTAATAAATACTTTTTTCAGGTGTTTGTACCTACAAACTGTAATTAAGTCATCCCTGAATCTTCTTTTGGTTAAGTTAAATAAACTCAAGGAGCTCATTCACTATATGGCATGTTTTCTAATCCTTTAGTTGTTCTTGTGCTAGTCTCTGAACCTTCTCCAGTTTTTCACTATCCTTTTTGTATTATGGACATAGTAGTCCAGCAGGTGGCTCATTGGGTATGTCTACACAGTAGTTATTCCGAAATAACAAAAAGTGCAACTACACTACAAACATTTATTTCGAAATAACGACAAGCTGGAGGACTTAAGCTCTGCTGCATAGGTGTGCCCATAAAGACTAGTGGTGGAATTCTTTTTTTTAATATGCATAATAAGATTTGTCAAAATTTGTTATTTGTCAAAAAACATTTCTTAAATCTTTATTAGAATTGTCATAGACATACTTGCTGAAAGGTATTTTTAAATAAATTACCAAAATATCACAATCATAGAATACTAGGACTAGAAGGGACCTCGAGAGGTCACTGAGTCCAGTCCCCTGCCCTCGTGGCAGGACCCAGTACTGTCTAGCCCATCCTTGATAGACATTTATAATAATAATTGATTATATTGTGTTATTTTGACAAAATATGCAGAATTTTTAATTTTTTGATGCAGAATTCCCCCAGGAGTGATAATCTTTCTACTCCTACTTAAGATTCCCCTTTATGAATCTGAGGCCTTTTGGCTATAGCATTACATCAGAGTTCATGTTTAGCTGACTATCCACAACCCCCAAATCTTTTTCAGAGTCACTGCTTCCCAGGATAGGGTTTGCCATCCTGTAAATATGGCTTATTACAAATTTATATTTATCCATATTGAAATGCACGTTGTATCCTTGTTCCCCAGCTTACTAAGTGATCCAGGTTGCTCTGTATCAATGATTTATCCTCTTCATTATTTACTACATCCCCAATTTTTGTGCCTTTTGTGACCTGTTTCAGTGATGATTTTTGTTTACTTCTGGGTCATTAATAAAAATGTTAAACAGTATATGGCCAAGGACCAGTCCCTGAAGAAACACATCCTCTTGACGATAATTCTCTGTTTCCAGTTACGTTTTGAGACCTATCAGTTAGCCAGCTTTTTAATCCATTTTGTCTGCCATATTAATCTCTCATTTTTAATCAAAATAATATATCATCATCAGATGACTTACAGAAGTCTAAGAATATTAGATCAACAAATTACCTTTATCAACCGAATGTATCTGATCACAAAAATATATCTAGTTAGTTTCATATGATCTATTTTCTCACAATCTCACTTGATAGGCATTAATTATATTACCCACTTTTAATTCTTTATTGATCAAGTCCTGTATCAACTACACAAGATCAATGTCAGACTGACAGGTCTCTAATTACCCAGGTCATCTCATTTACACTTTTAAATATTGGTACATTAGCTGTCTTCCAGTCTTCTGGAACTTCCCCAGTGCTCCAAGACCTAATGCAAAGCAGTGAACGCCACCTCAGTAGAGATTTGAGTAGTCAAGTGGGAGAAGGGAGCAAGAGCCAGTGCTGGGGGGAGCTGGCTTAAAAGCTGGTTCCCCACAGCACCATCTCTGCCATGCTCGCTTACTTCCTCCTCCCCACTCCCCCCCCC